TAAAAGTTATCTTACAAATCCTGCTTGTCAGAGATTCACTCCAAACATTCATCATAACGCATAAGGCCCTGTATATTTACCCTGGACGTTTATCATAAACCTTACGCCAGGGTGTATTCACCCTGGATGTTCCGTTCCAGTATATTAACCCTGGAGGTTCATTATAACCCTTGTGTCCCGGTGTGTTCACACTGGGTGTTCATTATAACTATTATGCCCGGTGCATTCACCGTGGGCATTCAGTAAAGCCCTAGTGTCTCGGTGTATTCATCCCGGAAATTCGCCCTTACCATTGCATATTGTTGTATTCACCCTGGATTTTCAACATAATCCTTACTTCTCAGTGTTTTCACCATTAGCATTCATTAAAACCCTGGCGTCCCGATGTATTCACCCTAGACATTCATCTTTGAGAACAGTTAATATGCTGTTGGTGTTTGTCATTACAATCTTGTTTACGAAATGATTACAGAAACGTTATCCCTGAAACTAGAAGCGCGATATCTATACCTATCACAAAAAATTCCTTTCTTAAGTCTGTCATTTTATCATCTTTTTTCCGAGCGTCGTTGTTTTCATTGCTTTCATATGTTAATCCTGGTCTTGAACTGAGTTATACAACTGTAATAATAGCCTTAATTTGATACATACACTAATCACATTTCTTGTATATTTATAACTATATGTATCTTCCAGAGAGCTGTAATGTCACGTTACAATAACAGTCTACGGTTATACAGAATTAAATGATAGTGCCTGTTGGCAGCAGTCCCTGGCAGGACAAAAGGTACACACGCGTAACCTCGAGGGACGGAGGTGTTTAGTGACCTACCCTATCGTTATTCACACGTACTAGATGCTGAAATGGAAGGTTTTATCAGTAAGACGGTATAAAGAAAGGATGGGGATGTAGACTTTAATTGTTTTCATGCGTATCTCGTGTTGGGCATTTCACCCCTGCCTCACCTTGACGCGCGAACATGTTGGTATCGCGCTATCGGGTTTCTCCGAAATACGGTCGGAATCACGATAGTACAAGTTGTCCAGATCAGGTTCCTTCTGCTTTTATCTTGTTGGCAGAAAAATATGATAAAATTATTTATGACCTAGATTAGTGCGTGTGTTCTTTATAGTCTAAATAATATATTCTGTTTCTCATCTGTTTAGAATGGAGACAAAGTCGGTAATTAACCATTAGTATCACTATCTCATTACTACAAAACGGCAGGTAGGTAAATTGTATGTCAGACAGTAACAACCTTTAATTACAGGATATGTATTTCCATTAGTCGTTGTTCATAGTGATATTTCCCGCCAAATACCCCGGTTGTTGGTCATCACCCCAGACTCGTGAAATCATCGATCTCGGTCGAATTGCAAGTTCCCCGACGTTGACGCAACATAACTTAAATAGTGCTATGTCAGAAGACTGCTTTTGTTTCAATTTTTTTTTCTAATTTAAATGAATGCAATCATTTACCGTAAAGACCGCGAAGCATCGCTGTCGTCTGTCCTACACACACTCCAGGAGAATATCAAGCAGTCTTGTCTTTTGTACTCTGTTACGCATAAAATCTCACGTCATTCTTTACTAAACACAAGAATTGTCAGATAAATTGTGAGTTAGCACTTCTAGTACAATGTCCCCTATCTGCTATGAAACACAAAAATTCGAGATGGTCTTCTCGTGAGAATATGATGGTGCAATCAGAGGGCTGGAGGGAGATATTCGTGGTTCTAAAGAAACAGCAGGGATAATGAGTGTGGACGTGCTCTGCTTTCTCAATCGCAGTACAGCAGATGTTGTAATTGAGCACGTGAGTAGAAAAAAGGCGGGAATGGCGCAGACGACATGCGACAGCCGCCCCGAACATCATCGTGTACTGATAATAGAGTTTTGATGTTTGACTGTATATACTCACACAAAGACAGAGCCCAAACGTTACCATTTCAATGAGATATTGCATGTTTAATCCACGCCTGATTGCTAAAAGAGAGAAATATAAGGGAAAAATATCACTATACACATATTAGATAGATTTGAAAAAAATCGATAAATATTTCATTTGAGCTGTAGGCTTAAATGTGCAATAACTGGATTAAACATATCACGATATTGCATTGAAATTCAAAGAAAATTCTACCGTGGGGAATCAGCCGGAAACTAACATACACATGTCTCAATGTGACATGCTGATTTGATTAACCAACTTCTTATGAGTGTAACATATTTCTGGATCTCGTACGAACAATTGAGTTGTCATACTTTATACAGCCGAGGAAGACTTCGTCAGTTCCGTATAGCTTAGAAAAGGCTGTGTATGCTCTTTATTTCCTTGTGTTTTACAACAGATCGGAGAGAATATATATTGACATTAAGCAAATGACACACGGTATGATAGTCGACCATTACAAATATTGTACATAACAAAGTAGTCCAACACTTACTTTGATATCTATTCATATAATAGTAATAACCATTATGCTCTATTTCAGATAAATGCAACAACATACAATATATTGTAAGATATTACTGTTATAAACATGATATAACATATCTCGAGTTATTATCACACACCATAACCGTGTAATTGTATAATTACGTATATCAACCCATGCACGAGATAGGGAAAGAACATCCCAGCTGTATATCACTGTATGACGTAACTCGAGAGAAGACCTATTGTAGGGCACTCCTTGCACATCGATGGCGGTTTGACCGATTTGGAGAGCCCAAGAATACAATCCGCTGTACCTTAGAGACATAATGCGGGCCCTGCAGAATCGGATGTTTCATTCAGTAACTTCTACCAAGTGGCATCGGAGAATGCCCCCTCCCTATTGCAACACTTCGCACTTTTATCTTTTCCTTACTTTCTCCTCTCTCTGTGCCCTATTTTCCCTTCTTGTACATAGTTTTTTTTTTATTTCAAATCTATACCAACCCACGTTAATGCCTTCAAAACCTAAAAAAAAAATCCACAAACCAGACCGCCTTGTGACACTTAGCCATGTTAAAACCTAACAAGGTCGGGCCAGCAACTTCAGTATATTGCAAATGCAGTTTTGAATTACAAGATTAAGCCCAGCGAGTGATCGAACCTCTGAACATATCCTATGTTTAACAAAATACAGATTTACTATCAATAATGTCAGGTTATGAACAATTTCCTCCGAAAACGAGAGATTTAGTAAAGAAGCGTGATACCGGTGTATATTGCAATGTCCACTTTTTTACTTTATAACCCCCCCCCCCCCCCCGACCATTCGAGTGACGCAAACGATTACTGTGTAGATTCTGTACATTGACACGGAATCCGTGTTAAAGCTGATCTTCACATACACCGTAACCCACATTCTGCATCCGAACGATTGTAGCAATGTCTGTTCTGGACTGTAACTTATATTAGTTTGCATGTGCACAAAACCTACATTTAGAAGGAGTTCCGTCAGACCGATAGTACCGACCGTGGCGCCACACAGGATAGAATCCTATGACATCACGACATTGTATAGAACCCTAAGTGCGCGCTTCCAATGCAAATTCGGGATTAATTGTTGTCAATTATAACAGAAGAAGAGGAGGAGAGCTGTAGACGGCCGTCTCCTGACACACTAGAAGTTCCCAAACAAAGTGCCCGTCTCCAATGTCCAATGTTTGAAGAGTCGGCGTATTCTAGTACAACACTGTAATCTCCATAAATTTAAATAGTTCTGAAGGGCAAAATTAGGTAAAATTTACTTCACAAACCAGTTTATTTTAATGTGCTATCCACCATTGCTGATAAATTTTATAACCCTGTTAGAAATAATGTTTTGTCACAAAATACATATGGTTTTTTCTTCAACGTTAAAAATAGCTCGGCTATGGTTTTAAATTACGAAATAACATAAAACATTTTGTTCTAAATGCAGGCAAGTGAATCACATCTTATGTGTCTCTGATGTAAGCATTCTGTTGTATCGTGTTAACTAAATTACATATGAATCGAGATATTAGGGCCTGCTAAATAAATCTGTGACGTATGATCAGAGACGTTAGTGTGGTCGAGTCCCCGATCGGAATATTCTAATCCACCGAAAGGCCACCGCAGTGTCCGATTGGACATTTAAAGGTATGGGTCATCTGCCCGAATATGAGAGTTTACTCTCATATTCTGGTTTCCCTCCCACAATATATAAGGTGATTTAAAATGTTTCGTAGCTGTTGTAAAAGAAGGGTTTATATTTCAAAATCTATATCGGGACACTTTCTAATACATTCTTTCATGTTATCTTTTTGGGACCGTTTCCGTTAGACAACACTGTGAATGGACATCAAAAGAGTGGGTCTTTTCTAAATTCTGTCATTTTCTTTTGTATTACAGAGAAAAATCCCCGCGCATTATTTATATTTTCTCAGTCAAACCTGTTTATAAATAGTCGCAGACAAGAGAACGTTGAATGAATCCCACAGAGTGTAAGGTTTATGAATAAAAATCAATACTCTGATATAATTTCATGTGGTTGTTGGATCTTTCAACAATCATTAAAATAGAGTTTACGATTCGGTGAGAAACCTATTACCTATAGCCCGCTACACCGGTGTGTATGATTTCGCATCAATCAATTACAACTCCTGTGGCCTCAATGTGTACGGTATTTTACACTATTTGGCTCTCTGCCAACTTTGCCCGGTGTTACAGTATATTGCAATGAACCAATCAGACAACGGTTCCAACTAGCCTAGTCCAACGTGGAAGGGGTGTTATATTCAGTGGTGTTTCACTATTATTTTAGGCACGCTTTTTAATTTGACTGTTTTATGATTGTTGCACCAAGAAATTTCTATACAACTTTTCATTCAAACTTCCATTTGTAATTTAAGTTCAGCAATCAATTTTACTTGGTTGACCTAGTTATCGTTAAAGTTATTCCCCCTACACAAATGAAACATTCCTGCAGTTGATATACACAGTGCGATATCCTTTTACTACGGTTGTAGTAGGGAAAACCACACGTCGGGAGGGTGACAGCGTGTGTAAAACTATGCATGACTTGTAAAGTGGAACATTATCATCACGAGAAATGGTCAATATTCTATGAAATGGATACATTTGTGTGTTAGTGGTGACCATTTGGTGTCGATTTCATCTTTAGCCATCTGATGCACCTGTGGAATCCCAAAACGCGAGGACCGGCTTACCCGCTGCCTTCCTTGTCAGAAGAGTTGGAGTTACTGGGGGCAGCCCGGGTGGCTAGCGGGTATCACCACCAGACCAGGGTATATGTCATCCAAACGGGATATGCTGAAGTATCTCACTCTAAAGCTCAAGTCACAGACACTGAACGAAGTTCAGCCTTATCAAGAAAAGGTGAGATCTGGACAAATTTTGAAGGGGGTCGTTATTTTTTCAATGTGTTTTTTTTTCTTTCTTTTCTTTTTTTGTGAAATATGATTTTTGTCAAATACTAATATGACCTAGGTAGGCATGCTTATAGATGGGCTTTAATATCTTGTAATCTGTGATTTACTGCAAATTGTCTTGTAGACCTGCAATGGTGTCAGTCAGTATGAAAGTCAGTTGAGGAATGATCATTTTCTGTTATTTTCTTCCGTGTAGAATGGTCAACACACCTTCCTTCCCTCGGCCCCCTTTGACAAACGCTAGCAGAGGGTCTAGATTGTCGGTTTTGTAAGGCTCAATTTTCGATTTATTTCCATCACGAATTGCATCATAGGCTACAATAACTTGGGAAGAACTTGTAGTATTTGTTACTGACCACTTTAGCGATTCACAATAGGTGAGAATTTACAGGGATGTATACTTAATAGTTAACCAAAGGTTCACTGACCAGTAACCTGTTTCTCATCATCGTCACAGACTCTAAAACTCTGATCAGTCTCTATTCACAGACCCTGTAACTATGATCGGTGTCCATTCATAGACCCTGAAACTCTGATCAGTCTCCATTCATAGACCCTGAAACTCTGATCAGTCTCCATTCACAGACCCTGTAACTATGATCAGTCTCCATTCACAGACCCTGTAACTATGATCGGTGTCCATTCATAGACCCTGAAACTCTGATCAGTCTCCATTCACAGACTCTGAAACTCTGATCAGTCTCCGTTCACAGTCCCTGAAACTCTGATCAGTCTCCGTTCACAGACCCTGAAACTCTGATCAGTCTCTGTTCACAGTCCCTGAAACTCTGATCAGTCTCCATTCACAGACTAGGAAACTGTGATCAGTCACCATTTCTCACCATCGTTGCTGACTCAGAAATTTTAATCAGTCATTCTTTCTCAGCATCCTTGCTGACTCTGAAATTCTGCTAAGTCACTCTTCTTGGCCATGTATTGACAGTATAAAGGAAACATCATCGGTTGCCATTTTTTCCCTATGATTTTGGACTTCAGAATTCCGTTTCGCACTGCATGCAGACTTGAAAAGTTCTATGATTGACTGTTGCAAGGTCAAAATATCTGAATTTGGATTTTAATGGTTATTTTTAGTGGTCAGGATGAAAATAATGTTAAGAAGAGCAAAGTGAAGAATACGACATGAAGAGGGGAAAAGAGAATTTCAGACAAGGTTCTAGGGACGGGGAAGGCTAGGATTTGGAAACATGCTGTACTGACCGATGTGTGGTGTACATATGAATATCAAAAGGGAGAGTGGTGGGGTCTTGGTGTTTAGGCATTAAACTGCTGATGTAGGGAATATTTTTCTTAGAATAATAAACCTATTGTCATTTAGGGAAAACCATTGTTATAATAGATAAGATTGGTGTTTTGATAGAGAAAGTAATTGTTGTGATGAGAAAATCAGTGTTGTGGTAGAGAAAATTAATGTTGTGGGAGAGAAAATCAGTGTGCAGTGTTGTGATTGAATAAAATTAGTGATGCATGAGTTGACCTAGAAGGAAAAATGCAAAATTTAACATTCATAAATACTACACTTTTATAAGAATAATATAATGATAATGCTGTGTTGTATATAGGATAATAGATGACATCTTGAAGACTACACTATGTACATTTGAAGAGCGATGGATGTTGTAAATTCTGACATAGACACAAGCGAAATTGCTACCTGTGTTGTTGAAATGCCCGGTAGACAACATTGACAATATAATGATCACCCATAGCCCACATTCAATTTCATTGCAAAAAAATAACCACCTACTCCTTGTTGAGTATAAAGTATTTTTCATTGGCTCTGTGCCAAGCTTGAATAATTCACCAGGATTTTTTATACATTACAATGACATGGTCTGATTTTGTAAAATCTGTTTGGTGTCTTGAGTGAATAACTGTACATTTTAAAGTTTAGAATAAAATATGTGTAGAATCTTGTATCAAGCTTTAGCAAGCTCAGTGAAAAATTCAATACAGGCATGACGTTTCGGCTGCATATAAATCCCATACCCAGTTGTTTTTCTGCTGACCTAGATAATTCACAACTTGGAAAGGACTACTAAAATTTAAAGTACTTTTAATCTAAATAAATTTCTATTGATAGCACACTTGTCCTTTGATATGCAGCTGTTTGTACATGACAGGTGTGTATTCATTAAACACTGATGACAGACATCAGTGTAAGTAAATGGAATTATGACATGTATTTTATGTCATTTACTTTTGAATGACCACGTAACTACCAATAGGTGATTAAAGAATGAAGTTGTACTAATGCGACATTAGCATATTTAATTGAGTGGCTTTGTGACATTGATAAAGTCAACAAATTAGGATAAGTGCTCGTAAATTTTTAATATCCTGGTATTTTAAAAATTACTGCCATTCCTAGTCTCTAGTCAAACCATATTGTAAAGTCTTTCCTGATTGCTCCTAAACATGATAACCATTTATGTTGACATTAGGTCTTCATTCTGTGTCAAGCTCAAATGCAGAATGATTTATATCATATATTCAGTGAGATTTGGGACTCAAATATTTGAATATTGAATGCTTGCTTTCTTGTGGGGCCTGATCAGATTTTGAGCACCCACTCTCCAATATTTTGGGAATGGTACTCACTGACTAACCATTATTGTACACTATGTCATGTCTACACACTTCAGGCTTTGGTTTTCTTGGAGCCTGCCATCTACAGTGAAAAGACACTTGTGTATCTATATATATATATACACCTGCATATCTATATATATATACACCTGTGTATCTACATATATATACACATACCTGTGTGTATATATGTATATATATATATATATATATACACCTATATGATACATGTATATTTATCTGATGACCATATGCAAGCATTGAAGGTCACACCTTCATGACAATTTATATGTTACTGCATCATGATCAAATTACTCTGATGTGTTTAAATAAACTGTTTTCCAATTAAAAACTAACACTAGTATAACTATATATGATTTGAAGAAAAAGACACTGTTCTGGTAGTGAAATTTTACACTGTGCTATATTTAGACCTGATGAAATACACACTCAGCTAACATCAGAATTTACTTGCCTGGCACAACATTAATACTGCCTTTAGCCTACACAGCACATATGTATCACCAGCCTCTAGCTTTGGTATGTATTTTTCAGTAGCTGTACATTTTACATGACCAGGGAACATCAGATTGTTGTTGTTATTTCCTACGGTACTGAATATAGTGTATCAATTAACATCAATTACATTTATATATATGTATACTGTAAGATTAATGTGAACCTGATGCTTCTCTATGTGACACCTATACTATACATGTCTTATTTATTTCTATGGTTTATGTTATAATGGTATATATGGTTAATTTATGTCCCTTGGTATTAACTGTATGTCTAAAACTGAAGCTGGAATGCTAAGTATGCCAGTCAGTTATACATTGATGCCCTTTTTGTCATTTAAGAAAAATTTTGGCCTGAATTATTAAAGATCATTATTGTAAAAATCACCACCTGGGAGATGTCTCCTAACGAAGGCATACACATTCTCTTTAATTATTGATTTATCTAGAGGCGTATACATACCTGACTCCAAATTAAAAGAATAGTGTTTATTATATCAGTCATGGCTTTGGCATGTGCATGGACAGTGGTGCGTGTATCTTAATTGACATAGCGCTGAATTAGCCATTCCAGTCACTTTTAATTTTTGTCAGAACTTTCAGTGAGGTTGGAAAATTAAATGTTGCAGAAGTAGAATATAAAAACTGACCTACAAAGCTGTAGTTATAAGTATAATATTGTTCTATGTGCATATATGGTAATTCATTGGATAAATATCCATGGTACAGTGATTGTACACAATTGATATTACTTACTGCAGTAAAATGAGATAAAATATCGGTGAATTTGCATCTAATATGCAATTTATACCTGGTGGAAATAGGTACCTGAATATGCACTTAAAATTCAGGATTCATAACTTTTGAATATTTAGTATCATGATTACAGATGTATGTGTATTGTATTATATTCCTGTGTAATTGAAGACGCAGTGTAATTTATGCTGTTGTTGTACCGTTAGGAATGCTGCTGTACTATACATTTGTGAACAGGATATGCATCTTGTACATAGCTTTAATTATATAGTTATAGAGACATGTAGTATTGCTTTGTTTCACCATGATCATGATGATGAACTCCAGCTTTGCTGCATAATTGCTTTCATTTGACTGATGTGTCTTTTCTCACAGTAGCACCTGTCTTGTAAATTATGTTGTCTTGGTGATCCATGTTAGACCTTTCTTTGTTGCAGTTAGATGACGACCATGATTCCGGAACAGAATCTGACGATGAAAATCAAGACTTAGACGATGAGGAACCAAGAGGTCAGTTTGCTCACCATTAATTTCCTCTTTGTGATAAATGAATAAATCAATAAATAGGTACCTTCAAACTAATAGAGGGAGATGAATTTATTACAGATATAATACATATACAATTTATTTATTATTATCTGATTGTTTTGCATTATGATGAAAAAAATCAATTGACTTTCATCATGGGAAATATATGTCTTAACGAAAAATTGAGTCTGTTTACTGTTCTTTATCAATTACAATGAATATAGCAGTATTTTAATTCTAAATCAATATTGGAAGGAAGTCCGAATATGTATTCCCTATGGTTTCTATATTATTGTTAACTTTTCACAAACACTACGTTACATAGTGAACCATGGATTATGTGTGAAAATAGAATTTTGTAATAAATTGATGACATTGATGTATACAACTCTGCTGTGTAAGTTCTGAGACGTTATAATGGTGTAAGGTCTGATTACTATATCATCCATTGCTGACAGATGATGATGACTGGTGGTTTTGTGTTGTAGACATATTAGTAAAGGATGTAGGATGTATGTGTTATACTGGTGATAAATTCCTGTTCATCATGATCAGATGTTACTGAAATTCTCACACTATCTTAACAGTAATACAATATATATGTACAATAATTATATAGTTGTATATACCACCAGTGGAGGAGATTTATGGAGGCAATGCCTAATATGTCATCCATTTGTATATATTTATACCACGAAGTTTGTTGAAATGAGATGAAATATACAGTTTCTTATTGTATATCAAACAAATATACTGTAATACAATGTAAAACAAAGTATTTGATCTGTTTATACAGTTCATTACAACCTGTACTGCCAGTAAATATCATATAATTACAAAACACACATTAGTATGATGTATGACAAAGTATTTTATATTGTAATACAATGTACAAAACAGTATACCATATATAACATACTCTTGGTATTTTGTAACACAAATAACACCTAAACATATCTAATTCTGCAAAGTATGAATGCAGACATTATTGCATTATTTCATGTGTGCAAGGTTCTACACTGAGTTGCATATCTACACATGTACAGAAGCATATAGTGTATAGCGTATATATTGTTATTGAAAGTATCATCTTCAGTCTGTATCCAGTAATCAATGTCCTGGCAGAGTTTTGCTTCCCTCAGCTTTATGCAAACAGATTACAGTCCAAGTAATCACATTCCAAAATTAACTTTTCATCGGAGGCTATTGATTTGCAATAAATCTGTGTGCCTTAGGTCTAGCAGGTGCATACAGTACAAGGAGTAGGATCGAAGCTCCACACACTACCCAGTCATGGGGCTATTAAATATTCTAGAAAATGCTTTATACGTGCACCTTCTATAACATCATTTTACAGTTAATCCTTTAATGTCAGTATACAGCAACCTATTAAATATCATTTACAGCAATTCCTTTAATGTCCGTTGATACAGCCTACCCTATAGTATTTGTATATAGCCAACTGCTTAAATGTCTGTATATAGCTGCCCTCTCAACTATCAGTATAGTGCCACATCGGTATAGTCAATCCCTTGAATATCAGTATACAATGTCGGTATACAGCCACCTCCTATAGTGTCAGTATACAGCCACCTCCTATAGTGTCAGTATACAGCCACCTCCTATAATGTCAATATACAGCCACCTTCTATAATGACAAGTGTATAGCCACCTCCTATAGTATCAGTATACAGCCACCTCCTATGATGTCAGTATACAGCCACCTCATATAGTGTCAGTATACAGCCACCTCCTATAATGTCAATATACAGCCACCTTCTATAATGACAAGTGTATAGCCACCTCCTATAGTATCAGTATACAGCCACCTCCTATAATGTCAGTATACAGCCACCTTCTATAATGTCAGTATACAGCCACCTCCTATAGTGTTGTTATACAGCCACCTTCTATAATGTCAGTATATAGCCACCTCCTATAATGTCAGTATACAGCCACCTTCTATAGTGTTGTTATACAGCCACCTTCTATAATGTCAGTATACAGCCACCTCCTATAGTGTTGTTATACAGCCACCTTCTATAATGTCAGTATACAGCCACCTCCTATAATGTCAGTATACAGCCACCTTCTATAATGTCAGTATATAGCCACCTCCTATAGTGTCGTTATACAGCCACCTTCTATAATGTCAGTATACAGCCACCTCCTATAATGTCAGTATACAGCCACCTTCTATAATGTCAGTATACAGCCACCTTCTATAATGTCAGTATACAGCCACCTCCTATAATGTCAGTATACAGCCACCTTCTATAATGTCAGTATACAGCCACCTTCTATAGTGTCGTTATACAGCCACCTTCTATAGTGTCGTTATACAGCCACCTTCTATAATGTCAGTATACAGCCACCTTCTATAGTGTCGTTATACAGCCACCTTCTATAGTGTCGTTATACAGCCACCTTCCTTAATGTCAATGTAGATTAAGAGCACCCTTACATATCTATGAACCAAGATGTTACTGTCCTATTTACAAACAGATTGTACCTGATAAACTGTTTTTGTGAGTTATTACATATTTGATATGTAGAATCCTGGGAGTTCCTATATCGGAGATCTACATGTTTATTTACATGGCATAATATATACAAAACTTTATTACTACATCATGAATATATTTTTACTCATATTTATTTATCACATTCTTAATGTAAAGAATAACAGAATGTCAACTTGATAATGTATCCTACATGCATTATTTATTTTAGTGACCTTGTTTGAATATGTGACCTTCAAAAGTTATAAAAAGATAAGGAAACAATTTGGTACAATGACAAGCCGAGGTTTGTGGATTGTCGTTCCCATGACTGTTTATTTAAACTCATGTCTGATTTGCTGTGTATTTAATGGCTGAACTCCTTTACAATGATAGCATATACCTCAAAATCAGAGATACCATTGTAACGATCTTCTCAAGCATCTCGGTGATCTTCTCAAGCATCTCGGTGACTCGGTTTACAGATAATTTTTTCTATGACAATCAACAGATACCAGCCCATTGTTGTAGTCATCTCAGGCATCTTATTGACTTGGTTTGCAGATAATTTTCCTGTTTAAGCCTTTAAATGCTATCAAACATCAGTATTTAAATGTAAATTCCAGCTGATGTTAATGATTTCTCACGTAATTAACTCTGTACAATAATAATCCAGACTAAAAAGACTTGATAATCAGTTACTTCAGGTGCATCCTGTTTAGTTCCTAAATTGGAATAACTTGAATGTAAGATGTAATACCACAGAGTTTTAATGATAAAATGTCCTTATGTGTATATATATATATATATATATGCATGTTAGATCATGTAGTAAGATGTTAAAAGCTAAAAATATTTTGTGATTTAATATTGATGCACAATTTTCAGTTTGCTCAAAAAACAAACTTTTTTTTGTTGGTCTATTTTATGTCGAAATTAGGACAGAAAGACTCCATCCCAAATTGTTGAAAATAAATAACAGGCGCTGTGAAATAAAGATCACTACATGATTGTAATAAGTCACTTAGCTGGTTCAGTACATGCCTTACACAGCATGTCATTTGATTTTGATGGAAAACATCCATCGGTGCAGGTGATTTAATTACACTGATCATAGGTGTGTAACTTGATTGATTTCAGGGTTAGGAATATATTTACACAACTATGAAGATATCACCCAGGTGCAAATGTAAGTTAAGGTCTTAAGGGGTGTACATACACACTGTATAATGAACATTTGTGTGGGTGTAACATAAGGACACCTCCCTTCCTTTTAAGCAGATCATTACTAACGTTGCATTACAAAATACAGTGTTATGTTGGCTTATATCAAGATCTATAAAAATGCTTATGGCAGGCAATTTATACTACATACTAAATCATATATTTAAATACAGCTGCTTTGTGAGGAATTTTATGTCGAGGGTGAATTTAAATAATTTCCACTGTTCTCTGTAGGTATCAGTGACATCTGTCTTATAGATAAATGTCACATAAATTGTAGACAGGTAAAGAGGATTTACACATATTGAAAATATTTAATTTCATTTTCCTAGTAAAATGTTGGTGTGGATGGTTCTAATGTGCATGAACCTTTTTCTAAAGGTTTGAAGAAAAATAAATATACAATGTACAAAGAAAAATCTGCAGAATGTTTTCATCGGTAGGAACTACTGTATATTATTTCATAGCCCTTTTTCTTCTTAGTTTATTGAATGGTTTAGAGAAGGACAAATGTATGCCCAAACATCAGGCAGACCTTAAGTGTAGACCAGAAACTTTTTATCTGTAATCTGCCTCCAGATATGATAAAACAAACATATCAGACAGGAAGAAGTATGTGTGATGGTTGGTATTCTGTGTGTAACTAATGAACAAGTGTTTCTACCTGTTTGTACCAGCTTATAATGCCATATATAGTGCCAGCGGAATTTGTTCAATATTTGATGGTGTTCCAGCAAACATTTGTTTTTCATGCACATGAAGTGGGGGATGTGGGGAGCTGGGTGTGTCAGCATATTCAATTTGGAGGCAGAAACCTACCTGTCACAGTTGTGTCAACAACAGGATAAGAGGGACTGGTCATATGTCACCACCCAGATTTGTAGGGTGGTCACAGGTGTGTCATGATCAGCACTTTTGATAAGTTTTGGCCATAGGCCACAAGGTGTGTCACCTTGTGTGTTCCCTCTAGGATGATAAGGGTTAGTTGCAGCTTGGATAACAAGGGCTGGTCACAATGTGTCACAACTTGGATAACAAGGGCTGGTCACAGGTGTGTCACAACTGTGATAACAAGGGCTGGTCACAAGTGTTTCACAACTTGGATAACAAGGGCTGGTCACAGGTGTGTCACAACTTGGATAACAAGGGCTGGTCACAGGTGTGTCAAAACTTTGATAACAAGGGCTGTTGTGTCACCAAGCAGGCAGAAATATTGCTCATTGTGAGGAGGATTAAGTGGTGTTTTTTCCCTGTTTA